ACGGCGGCGGTTATGCCACGGACGGTTCCGGAGAGTGCACGCTCGTTCAATCCGGTGCGCTTTACTGCGAGGACTGCCAAGGGAATGTGCACAAACTCGAGCGTTGCTGCGATATCGTAGACCTCCGAGTTTCCGATTCCGGTTACGAGTTAAGCGCCGGCCAACAGGCCAACACGTATGACATTGAATGGGGAATCGGTCTGCTACAGTGCCCAGGGAATACGGGCTGTGCTACATCTGGTTACCCGCAGTGTAACGGGGGTGGGTTCGACGGTATTAATTCGTGGTTCGGGTTAGATAAATATTCCTATGTGCAAGGTTATGAATTTTGCCCCGAATTCAGGGGAACGATACTGCGCGGGCTCGAGCCCCGCGGGGACAGCAGCGGCGGTGTAATGCCCAGGGCTATTATAATGGCGGTTACAAGGCTTTTATAGTATTCCAATACAAAACAGTAGCTTTAACTAGCCTTAATAGCCTTGGAGATGAAGATCTTCTTGATGCCTTTGATGAAAAGCACTTGGAGTAGTAGTGTAGGGAGACTTGTGAGAGAGCCCAAAAGGACTTAGAGAAACAATCCCATTTCCAATTGTTTTGTTGGAGTGGGAGGTTGAGAATGAGCTTGCTTAGCTCAGACCCCCTCAATACACCCCTTGGGGAACTATCCCAACCATGGTTTCCATGGTGGGATGGTTCCTAGGCTTGGAGCCTATGTGGCAATTGTGTTGGGTTGGAAAACCCAACTTAGAACCATTCAATGGTTGTGTTTAGGATAGAGTAGATTGTAACACTTGTTTGGCAGTTTCTGATTGGTTGGAATTCCAACCTTCAACATTCTCTTGGTTGAGTTGGAAATGTTCCAAACCTCCAAAGTTGAGGCTTGGCAAACCCAAACCAAGTTTCATCCCAACCAACTCAACCATCTTCTCCAACTCTTCCTTTGTCGAGAGAAGTTCTCAACAATTGACTTAGAGAGAGATCGATGGTTGTTAGCTCGGTAGTTAGGGTAATACGTTACACTCCTCCCCCCCCAGGTGGCAACGTCCCCGTTGCCCTAGGGTGCTTCTGAGGACGAGTGCTTCGAGCACGGCGCACCACATTACGACCAGGGTCAACCCCGTCCACTGGTTGTGGGCCTGCTCGTAGAGCCAGGTCTTCCATATACGCTTGAACCGCTGCTTCGGTCAAGTGTTCCTCAGGCTCCCAAGAGTTGTGTTCCGGCCCATAGCCTTTCCACTGAATTAGGAACTCACGAACAGTTTTGCGGCCGCGTTGTCGATCACGGTGCGTTAGCACACGCTCGACTTCGTAAAAGAGTTCCTTCTCGAGAGCGATGGTTGGTGGCGGTAAGTACTTGCCTTCTGCAACGTACTTATTCAACAGAGACACGTGGAAGACGTTGTGAATCTGCAATGTCGCAGGCAATTTGAGCCTATATGTGACCTCACCAACACGCGCAATCACCTCGAAGGGCCCAATCCAACGAGGGAAAAGCTTTCGTGCTCCCGGGATCTTGAGACGAATGTTCTTCGTACTCAGTAATACTTTGTCGCCAACTGCAAAAACGACTTCCCGGCGTTTCATGTCGGCATAGGATTTTTGCCTCTGTTGGGCAAGCTGCAGCCAATGGCGAGCGGACTTCAATGCCGCTTGCTGATTTCCAATAAAGTCCTTTGCGGCAGGGATTTTGAGGTTCTTAATCCCATGCGTCGCGGGGGTTGTGGGGTGCCGACCACAGTTCAGGACAAAGGGTTTCTCATGGGTGCTTTCATGCACAGAATTGTTTACAGCGAATTCCACGACTGGCAACAATTCATCCCAATCGTCCTGAGTTGGGCTTATGAAAGAACGAAGCATTTGCTCAAGAGTGCGGTTGGTCCGCTCTGTCTGTCCATCCGTTTGCGGGTGGAACGCAGACGACATCTTGAGTTTCGTTCCGAGTGTCTTAATGACCTCTTGCCAGAACCGGCTTGTGAAGCGCGGGTCTCGGTCAGACACCATCACACGAGGCAAACCGTGTAAGCGGAAAACGTGTGTCACAAACAACTTTGCCGTATCTTCCGCAGACACGTCAGTCGTCGTGGGCACGAAGTGCACCATTTTGGTCAAGCGATCCACAAACACTAGTATCGCTGTATGACCATCTCGCGTCTTGGGGAGATCGGTGATAAAATCCATCGATACACTCTCCCAAGGTTCATCGGGAATCTCAAGTGGTTGAAGCAGACCACCAGGCTTCTGTGTGCTCGGCTTGTTCCGTGCACACGTGTCACAGCGAGTTACAAACTGCTGGACCTCAATGCCCAATCCCGGCCACCAGTATACATCACTGAGGGCCCACCGGGTTTTCTTGACACCCAGGTGTCCTCCATACTTAGTGGCGTGCACCTCTGCGAGAATATCATTCCGCAGGTTTCCCACATGTGGGACTACAATTTATTTCTTGTGCCACCAGAGCTCATGCTCCCACAAGAGATTGTTTGTATTCAGTGGGTTCTGAAACCAAGGGTCAATATCATACCCTGCGCGGATGCGTTTCAGAAAACCACCAAAGGCAATCTCGCTCACTCGAGCAGCTGCGAGGATGTTGAAACAAGCAGCAAACACAGCTTCATGTTCCTTATCATCAACACCCGTTGCTGCCCCAATCGGCTGTCTGCTCAGAGGATCAGCCATGTTCGTCGAGCCCGCTCGATATCGAATATCGTAGGTGAACCCACTCAGGAGTTCAGCCCATCGAGCTTGACGGCGGGTGAGTGTGGCTTGAGTGGCAAAATAGGTGTTCGGACAGTGGTCGGTCGTGACCACAAAGTCAACACCTTCGAGATACCATCTCCATGTTCGTAGCGCATGCACAACCGCCAACAATTCTTGTTCGGAAGTTGTATAGCGCTGCTCAGCCGGTGAAAGCTTTCTACTCTCAAATGCCACGGGGCGTCCTTCTTGCAAAAGAACTGCTCCAATCCCTACTGTCGAGGCATCAGTTACCACCTCGTAGGGCTTGGACGGGTCTGGCAAAGCCAGCACTGGAGCATTGGTCAGCATGGTTTTCACCTCCTCAAATGCCTTCTGGCATTGATCGGTCCACTGCCAAGCATTACCCTTACGAGTGAGGGCAGTCAGTGGGGCGACTACGGAGGAATAATTTTCCAAGAAACGGCGAAAATAGTTCGCAAGTCCAAGAAATGATCTGACCTGTCCCACGTCCTGTGGAACGGGCCACTGTTGGACTGCCGCCACTTTCTTTGGATCAACTTTGAGGCCATCGTTGCCTACCAAGTGACCAAGGTATTCCAACTCGCGTTTGTAGAAGTGACACTTCCACAATCGAGCAAAGAATTTATGCTCTCGCAGTTTTCCTAACACCCATTTCAGGTGTTGCGTGTGTTCTTCTTCGGTCTTCGAGTACACGAGGATGTCATCCAAGTATACCAGGACGAATTGGCCGATTGCCTCCCGAAACACATCATTCATTGCTCGCTGAAATGACGCGGGAGCATTTGTCAAGCCAAAACTTAACACACGCCACTGAAAATGCCCGAACGGCGTTCTGAAAGCCGTTTTTGGAACATCTTCTTCGGTGATTCGTAGCTGATGATACCCCTGAGCTAAGTCCAGCGCACTGAACCACTGAGCTCCCTGGAGCCGATCGAACAGATCCTCAATTCGTGGTAGAGGGTATCTGTTCTTCACCGTAATCTTGTTCAAGGCACGATAATCTACGCACATGCGTAATCCTCCGCCCTTCTTGTTAACGAACAAAATTGGTGCTCCGTAAGGGGATGCACTGGGTTCAATCCATCCTTTTCTGAGGTATTCCTCGATCTGTTGTTTGGCCTCTTCGTACTCAGCTGGACTGAGGCGATACAGAGGTCGAAAGGGTGGAACCTTTCCTGGTTCAACAGGGATGGTGTGACCCACTGCGCGGTCAGGCGGAAGTCCATCAGGGATGGTTTCAAACACTTCCTTGAATTCCTCTGCCAGTATTTTCATTTGAGGAGGGAAATCCTCAATTGCTGGCTCCGAGGCCTCGACATTCTCAAGCTGTACCACGAATAGTGTATCAGCCGACTTAACAGAATGCCCGAATTGGTTGGCCAACACACACAGCACGCTGGGACGTTCAGGCGTCTGTGTTTCAGTGGGCAAAGTATCATTGACTTGCCACTGGATTGCCTTTCCGTTCTTGTTGAACGAGACAATGTTGTACTGGAAGTCCAGAATAACTTCGTTGGCTCTCAACCAATCCATGCCCAGGATGAGGTCGACTCCTGACAAAAGTGGTAGGACATATACGCGAACTGTTTCGCTATAGTCCTGTACTTTCATGTCGATATGTGTCTGTCCTTTACTTGGAATGACACGATCGTCACCCAAGCGGATGGGACACGACGGTCCTACAACGAGGACGTTGCGTGTCGTAACCCAAGTTTCATCAACAAGGGAAACCGACGCGCCTGTATCGACGAGAATCCTTGCTTCGTCCCCATTCATGCGTCCAGATAACAGTAGATTCTGTTGAAATCTTGGACGGATGGGACAAGCGACAACAAGTTTAGGAGGTCGAAAGTACACCCTAAATTTGTTGTGAGCGCGTCCAAACCTTTGGGATGTGGTCCACCAAACATGGTGCCCCTTGTCCCATGTTGCCAGGATATGCCATTCGTGAAATCGGCGGAACAACTCTCCTTTCACGATTCGAGTCACCAATCCCACTGACGTGAGCGGGTGCTCTTGGACACAACGGTCCACAATATCCATGATTTCTGGCAACTCGTTGAACGAGCAAGAGATGATTGAAAATTTATCTCTCAAGGATTCAATTGAGATGTTTTCAAGTGGGTATGATCAAGTTTTAAAAACAGATTTTTCATTAATAGAAGAGGCATACAAACAAGCGATTTTGCATGATGCAAGCTTCTCTAGCTTTAGCAAATCCTCATCACGAAGGACATAAGCCTCATCTACTCGATCTCGCTCACCAACTAGGTACCCACCCCCTAGTTGGACTTCGGAAAATCCTTCGGGCCCGAAGGGCCAGAACCATCCGGCTTCTTGCCCTGGTTGGGCTTGCCGGAGTTCTTGACGGACTTCCTCCAACGGCAGTGATAGGACTTGTGCCCGAGCTTGCCACAGATGCGGCAGCCTGCCGGGGGCTTATCCTCATCCTGAGGATCCTTGGCAGGCCCAGCATGGGCCCTCTTGGACTGAGTCCCAGAGGATTCCCCCTTCTGCTGATAGGGCCTCTTCCAAGAGCCACTGCCCCTGTGTGCCTGAGTCCTGTTACCACCCCCCCTAGGGCCTTCGGCACTAGGCTGCTGCTGAGCACGAGCGTGAGTCATGTACGCACGGAAATTCACATCCGTGTCAATGACCTGCTCCTTGCACTCCTTGTAGGTCCTCCACTGGTGCTCCCCGCGCACAACATGCACACGCTTGATGTGCTCAGGGAGACCCTTGAAGAACTGGTGGATGACCTCGCTCTCAGGAAGAGCAGTCTTCAGCAGCGACAGAGTTTTCTCAAACTCCTTGGCGTACTCGCGTACAGGCTGGTCACCGCACTGGATGTTCTCCAGGCGGCTACGCACCTCGAGCGCCGGGGGCTGACTCAGGAATGCCGCCAGCATGGCAGCTTTGAACTCCTCCCAGCCAAAAGGATGGCCATTAGCCTCTGCGTGGCGCTTGTTGGCATACACCAACTTGCTCGCAGTGTCGTCCAGGGCAAGGGTTGCAGCGACCACACGAGCCTCGCTACGCACATTGTGGATGGACATAAAGTCCTCCGCAATGGAGAGCCAAGTCTCGACGTCGGTCTTGCCATGGACAAAACGAGGCAGGGCCGAAGGGCAGGAGCCAAAGGCAGTTGCTGCTGCAGTAGGAGGCTCAGCACGTGCTCCAGTAGGAGGAGGAACAGCAGGAGGTGCATCAGCAGGTGCAGCACGGCTGTTAGCGGCGTTGGCGACTCGCTCTGCTGCAGGAGCAGGCTGGTAGAGGTTTCCACGCCGGATCTCCCTGTACTAGGTCTGAAGCACAGAGATGCTTTTCTCCTGCTTCTTGAGCTGATCCTGCACGAACTGAAGAGTGTTGTGCAGGTCCTGAATGAGGCTGGAGGTGTCGTTTTCCTTAGGGATCAACTGCACCTCCCTGGTCAGCTGCTCAATCAAGGCCTGAAGCTTAACATAATCAGCCTCCAAGTTCTGGATACGACACTGTTGCACTCCAATGAGAATATTCTGCTCCGTGAGTTGAGTCTGGAGCTTGACAGCAATGTTCTCAGTTTCATTGGAAACACCCTCATCAGAGCCAGCCTCTTCCTCATTTTCAGCATCAGCCTCAAGGTCAGCTTCACTTCCATTGATCTCCATGTCAACCACGAAATCCTCAAGGTTGAGATCAATGTCAGCAGCAGCAGCAGCATTATCTCCCTCAGTGCCAACAACGGGCACCTCCTTAGTAGCATCCATCAACAGATCTTATAATAATCTTTAAGAAATCTGATTACTCTTATAGAATAATCCAATACAGAATATCTTAAGATAGACTTGTTTGCCAAATCTCTCTATCACCTCAATGATAGAGCAAGATATACTCAAGAGAGTAATCCTCAACAAGCCCTTTATAGATCTGAAGGTACACTCTTCTACACAAAGTAGATCAAGAGTCTTCCACCAAAGGTGGGTAAGAGAAATTAATCTCTTCAAATTTCTTCTCAATGTTGATGAAGAAAAATGAGCTCCTTGTAGATCTTGAAGCTCCAATGGTGTGTTGAGGAGATTGAAGCTTGAAGCTTGGAGATCTTGTAGAAGCTTTTGTAGATCTTGAAGAACCACTTGTAGATCTTGAAATTTCTTCAAAATCTTCAAAGATCTTGATAGCTCCTTGGATGAAATCCTGGATCCACAAGCTAGGATCCTCTAAAAAAAAATAGTCCAAGTAGCAAATGGCCACACAAGGCCAAGGAAGAACCTTGCTCTAGATACCAATGTAATGCCCAGGGCTATTATAATGGCGGTTACAAGGCTTTTATAATATTCCAATACAAAATAGTAGCTTTAACTAGCCTTAATAGCATTGGAGATGAAGATCTTCTTGATGCCTTTGATGAAAAGCACTTGGAGTAGTAGTGTAGGGAGACTTGTGAGAGAGCCCAAAAGGACTTAGAGAAACAATCCCATTTCCAATTGTTTTGTTGGAGTGGGAGGTTGAGAATGAGCTTGCTTAGCTCAGACCCCCTCAATACACCCCTTGGGGAACTATCCCAACCATGGTTTCCATGGTGGGATGGTTCCTAGGCTTGGAGCCTATGTGGCAATTGTGTTGGGTTGGAAAACCCAACTTAGAACCATTCAATGGTTGTGTTTAGGATAGAGTAGATTGTAACACTTGTTTGGCAGTTTCTGATTGGTTGGAATTCCAACCTTCAACATTCTCTTGGTTGAGTTGGAAATGTTCCAAACCTCCAAAGTTGAGGCTTGGCAAACCCAAACCAAGTTTCATCCCAACCAACTCAACCATCTTCTCCAACTCTTCCTTTGTCGAGAGAAGTTCTCAACAATTGACTTAGAGAGAGATCGATGGTTGTTAGCTCGGTAGTTAGGGTAATACGTTACAGGCGGAGTGAAGCTGCGCGAACTAGAGCGTCCGTGGGAGGAATCCGCCGCTGAGGCGGACGAGATCCGCGCAGAACCGCCGCTCCCGATTGCTCCCCTCGGCGACGGCGCACTGGCGGGCGGAAAGACCAAGATGAGCCGCCGCCTATGGGGAAGCGGGCGCCCCTGGCCCCCCCCGAAGATGTATAGCCGTCGCCTGTGGGGAAGTGGGCGCCCCTGGTCTCCCCCAAAAATGTACAGCCGCCGCCTGTATGGAAGCGGGAGGCAGTGGTACCCGTAGTGGTACCCGTGGCCGCCCTGTCCGTGGATGGGAAGGAGGTTAGATTGATGGAGGTTGTTTAGTTCTGAGGCACATGCTTAGTTGAGCATTTCATTATTTTTTAGGTGCCTAAGAAGTCTGTTAAGGTTTTTTGAGGTGCCTAAGAAGTCAGTTGAAGTTTTTTTTTGCACCTCAGAAGTCTGCTTATGGTTCTTGAGGCACCTCAGAAGTCGGTTTATGGTTTTTGAGGCACCTCAGAAGTCCGTTTTTGGTTTTTGAGGCACCTCAGAAGTCTGTTTCGGTTTCCTGGTGATCTCAGCTCAACGGAGTGTAGGGGAGAGTGGGGGTGTGAGGGATACATGCAGTACCTGAATGCAGATTATACATGACTTTCTATTATTGTTGAAAAAAGTGGAAAGGGGTGAGCAGCGGGTAACAGGGGTTAACGGAAATGAAGAGTTGTGTGTTGGTTCGTGGGCAGGGCATATCGTTCAGCACCCTCTTGACCATCACCAAACATGCCTGTCAAGAGGTGAGTGGTGGTGGTGAGTGGTGAACAGGGGGAAACTGTGGTGAAGGGGGGTCAAGAGGGTTCTGTTGGGTGGTGAGCAGAGCATATCGTTCAGCACCCTCTTGACCATCACCAAACATGCCTGTCAAGAGGTGAGTGGCCGGTAGTGAGTGGTGCGCAAGGGTGAACAGGGCTGGGTTGGGTGGTACTCGGTGCATATTGTTTCAACAGCCTCCTCACTATCACAAAAGCTTTCACTAAAGTTCTCTTCGTTTCACTATCATCAGAGGTTTCACCAATAGCCTCTCTCTTTGTTGAGAAAACGAAAAACTAAAGCCTGTCAGGCTGTTCACCATCACCAACACGCCCGGTGAGTGATGAGCGGTGGTGAGTGGTTGACAGAGGTGAACAGAGGTGAGTAGAGCATGTTTCTCAACATCCTGTTCACTATCACTAACATGCCTGTCAAAAGTGGGTTATTGTGAGAGGCATGATGGGTGGCGGGTGGTGAGTGGTGAACGGTGAGCGGTGAGCAGAGAATATCGCAGCCTGTTCACCATCACGAACATAACTGTCAAGAGGCGAGTTGTGAGTTGAAAGTGGTGAACAGAGGTGAGTAGAGGTGAGGAGAGATGAACAGGAGTGAGCAGGGGTCAGCAGAGGTGCGCACGCAGTGGTGTGCAGAGGTGTGCAGAGGTGTGCAGAGGTGTGCAGAGGTGTCCAGCGAGCTGAGGCGAACAGAGCCTGTTGCTCAAAAGAGGGGGTCACTGAACCTCAAACCGTCACCAACGTTCCTGACAAGTGGGGTTGAAGGAAACTGAACGGTGATTGTATGGAGAGAGCAAGGGAATACGTCGTTGGAGAGATTGGGTTGACCAGATTTGGAATTCCCTCCAACACTACTGGTTGGCCCGATGGATGGAAGTCCTATGTGTCTGTTTGGTCACCCAATAAGTTGGAGGCATGACCACCAATAATCGGAATGTCCATTAACGGTTGGGTTGGGTGGACCTTCAACAAGAAGGACTGGGGGGTCTTAGTGGAAGTGTACACTTGATATTTGGGTGGTATGCTTACATAGTTAGCCTATATCAATGCTACAATTTAACGTGGGTTTCATGTTGGGAAGGCACTGCTGCTGGTTCCGTTTCATGCCAAGGTTATGCTTGCTTGTTTCAAGCATGTTTTGCGTATGCATCTTTCCATGCGTGTTTGTCGCTGATGCATCCGTTCACAGATTCGCATCGTTTCTGCATAGGCAGGGCCAAGTCGAGGACTACATGCAGCCGCTGGTGAACCTTGTATTGAGCTGCTTATATGGAGTACAACTGTGTTCGCATCGCTTCTGCATAGGCAGAGCCGACTCGAGGAATGCATGCAGCTGCTGGTAAGCCTTTTAAATGATATGCTTGTATGGAATACATGTATTGGTTCTATGATGGCGGCATCCTGGCATGCAGTATGCATAGCAGTCACATGCATGCATACATTCACATACACACGCGCGCGCGCGCGCGCATGCACGAACACATGCATGCATACATACACACATCTATCCCACTCCCTCTGTTACCTCCTCCATTACCCTGCCTGCCTCTCCGTTCAACCACGCAGATTTCTGCGTTCAACCCAACATCAGTGAGCAATGATTATTGTTCCTCAAGTGTGCCCCTCTGCTGCCTCCCTCTCACTCCCTCTGCTGCCTCTCTCCCCTCACTCCCCTCTGTGTGGGAGAGGGGGAGAAGGGGGGTTACTGCGTCCATGTGACTGGTGATGTGCACAAACCTGATCAACATTGACTGGTGCGTGGGGGAGCAGGGGGGCGAGGGGGAGGGGAAAAAGGGGGGTTTGGTAATGCATGTGTGGGGTAGCATGTGTTTCGCAAAATCGGTGGTCAACAACCCAGCAGCAATGAGCAACATGATGTGCAGAAACCTGATCAACATTGACTGGGCGTGGGAGGGAAGGGCGGCGGGGGAAAGTGTTAAAATATATGTTGTGTAGCATGCCAACACATGTGACTGTACACCAATTGTGGTGTACAGTTGGGTTGGGACTACACCCAACTTTGGGTGTAGTCTTGCACTTTGGGGTGCCAATCCACCCAATTGTGGTGGAGCCCCCAAATGCAACCCACTTGGCTTATGGGTGCCTCACTTCCCACAAGTGAGGTCATCTCAAGCCAAGTGGGCCTAGGGTTGCCTCACTTCTACAAGTGAGGTCAACCCAACCTATGGTCACCTTCACCTTTCTCTTCCAAGCCTCTCTTCCAACTATGTATGCTAGGTTTCTCCTCTAATGAAGTTACTTGTTCAATTTGCTACTTTCACATGGTATAGAGCTACTTGTTCCTAGGCCTTACCTCTCCCTCCCTTCAGTTTTTTTTTTCCCCATGGGCCCACCCCACAGCTACAAACCCTTTCCTACGCGTGGCTCAACTAGCCATCACTAGCATACTCTCGCCGCGACCTACGCCGTCGCCGCCGTTCCCCCCCCCCCTCCCGCCGCGATTACGCCTTCCTCGCCTGCGGATACCACCGCCGCGAGCGCAACGCCGCTGTCCCCTCCTCCCCCCCGCCGCGACCCCCTGTCGCCGCCTCCCCCTCTCGCCGCCGCGCCTGATTCGGCGCCGCCTGCGCATCCCGCCGCCGCGACGCCTCGTCGCCGCCTGCCCGTCCCTCCGCCGCGACGTCACGTCGCCGCGTTCCCGCCGCCGCGCCTGCTACGGCGCCGCCTGCGCATCCTGCCGCCGCGACGCCTCGTCGCCGCCTGCCCGTCCCTCCGCCGCGACGTCTCGTCGTCGCGTTCCCGCCGCCGCGCCTGCTACGGCGCCGCCTGCGCATCCTGCCGCCGCGACGCCTCGTCGCCGCCTGCCCGTCCCTCCGCCGCGATGTCACGTCGCCGCCTCCCCTTCCCGCCGCCGCGCCTGCTTCGGCGCCGTCTGCCCGTCCCGCCGCCGCGACAGCTCGTCGCCC